TACAAGTTCCACTTTCACACACTAGGCCCATAGCATTGAATGTTATGACACTTTAAGAGACATCAAAGTACTTTTTAAAGTTTTTGGAGGTTTCCTGCTTCACCACCCTCTGGGTAAAAAGATTTTCCCTTAAAACATCTCGAATTCGCCTGCCTTTTGCAGTAAATCTATGCTCCTTGTTATTGACACAATCAGGAAGTCAGCACTGCTGACATCATCATGCACTCGCTGTTGCCTCTTCCTCACCACTGGACTCATTTTAAATAAATTATAAAAATATTCTCAAATATTTAATCATTCAACACAGTGCTTGGGCAGCTGATAATGTGTTGCACGATAAATCTCTTTGTACTTAAACATTATAATTGTATATGTGTAAAGAGTGGAGAAGATGAATTGATTGGTTGCTTCAATAGAGAAACTGAATTAGGGAGAGTTTACAGTGGAGTTCTCAATAAATTGTTATTGCAAATTTTCTGGTGGAATACAGTGATGTTACGTGCTCTGCAATAGTGTGCAGTAAGTGAACCTTTGCAGCTGCAAAATGCTGCCAAGGGTGTAAAAAAATTTAAGATAAACATTTTGGGAAATCATTCTTTGTGTAAAGGTACAATTCCAAAGAGAGTACAAGAACAAAGGGATAGAGAATTAATGCAAGTTTTTTTTTTAAAGGTGGCAGGGCAGGTTGATGAAAAAACAAGGATGTTATGAAGAACCTTTATAAATCACTAGTTCAATCTCAAATAGAGTATTATGTCATACTTGATTAGAAAGATTAGAGAAGCGGAGATTGTTCTTCTTGAAGACTTAAAATGCTTGAACAGAACGCTCAATAAGGATTATTGACAGTCAATACAGAGAAACTGTTTCTACAGGAAGAGTCAAAAATCAGAGAACAGACTTCAGATGACTGGCAAAAGAACCATCTTCTTCCCCAGCAGAAGTTGAGAAATGTATTGTGAACTGCTTGAAAAGGAGATTCAATCTTGGTTTTCCAAAGGAAACTCAATGAGCATCTGAAACACATTTAACAGGTTAAATGACTGGCAAGCAGAAGATAGCAATTTCATGATTCAAGATAAATGATTGTAAATGGAATTAAACCTTTGTTCTAGATATTGCTACTCAGCACGTACAAAGGGTAACATTTCATGGTGACATCAGATCACATGAACTTGGAGCCTCTTTCTCTATGGCTTCAAATTACCCTCTTAGCTTCTTCTGTAAACAATTAAATTCAATAGAGCCTGTAGCTGTTCACCCAAGTCTGTGCAACTCAAATCAGTGCAATGATTTCAGTTTTTAAAAGGTTTGAACTGACATTCCAATGGAACTTTTGACACTAGGAGAGATTGAATGTAATCCTAATAGGAATAACAAATTGCAAAGTGTCATTGATAAAACAATAGCAGCTGGAAGATAGCCTTAGGTTACAGGTTAGGTAGGCTGATCAGCAGTTGATGGAATTCATCCAGTTAAGTGTGAGGTGATGCACTTGGGCATGTCCAACAAGACAATGGAATGCATGTTAAAGGCACCACCCTGGGAAGCACTGAGGACCAGACAGACCTTGGTATGCATACCAATTGGCACATCAAGGTAATTGGACAGGTAAATAAAGTTGATAAGAAGGCATATGGGAAATTTGCTTTCATTAGCCAAGGCATAAAGTTTACAAACAAAGAGGTTATGCTAGAATTGTAGAAAGCTTTGGTCAGGCCACAGAAAGAGTGGTGTACTATTCTGGAATCCACATTATTGGAGGGACGTGATTGCATTGGAGAGGATGCAAAGAAGATTTACCAGCATGCTGCCTGGTCTGGAGAGTTTTTGTTAAGAGAGATTGGATAGACTGAGGTTGTTTTCCTTGCAGCACAAGAGACTGAGGGGTACATGACTGAGATCCATAAAGTTATAAGGGGATGCGGGGCATAGGCAAGGTAGACAGGAAGAAACTCTTTCTCCCGCCCAACACCCACATGATTTTCACTCACTCACTATGTGTAATGGTGGTAGAGGCAGAAACCCTTAACAAGTATTTAGATGTATACTAGTAACGCAAAGGCATTCAAGGGTATGAGTCAATGGTAAATGGGATTAGAATAGTTAGGCAACTGTTTTTACACAAATTTGATGGGCTGAACAGCCTTTTTCTGCACTGTAGACATCTAGGACTCAATTTTAATGAGAGAAAGCATGAGGTAATTCACTGATCAAGTGCAGTTCTTAGTATTTACTGAATGTTGAAACTCAAGGTAATATTCAAAGAGATTTGGGAATTCAAGCGCATAAATCAATTAAAGCCAGTAGAGAAGCATAAAAATAATCAAATGGAAATAATAGAATAATGCCTTTATTTCAAAAGGGTCTAGACTGTAGTAATCAGAAGTCTCCTTTTATGTTGTAAATTTCCATGCTTCTTGAGAGAAGTTACGCCTCAGTTCCATATGGATCTTTGTACGACTTCATCTGGAGTGTTACGTTCAGTTTGAGTTGCCCATCTTAAAAAACATAGATGGGCTCTTGTATTACAGGTGGAGCACACGTAATGTAACATCAAAAACCAAATTTGAAATGAAACAGCTTCAAGAGAAGCGGACAGTTCTCAGACGATTATTCTTTTAATAAGTACTGTATGTATCTCTGATGATACAGAACAAAGTCCAGGGTGATGTATATGACAGTCTCTTGAGAAACCACGCAAAAGAGCAAAAAGAAAGTACAGGGTTCCATAAATTGACATCAGCACCATGTTTTATCATCTTCTGCAACTGAATGCCTTAGGAACCACAAGAAGAAAACGTGGGATAAGTTTTAAATGGCTAAGATTCCTGAAAATTGCTGGCCAATACAGTAAAATCATTTTTATGATAAACCAGGCAGCTTTGTTCAATTTAACTAATTTTGACATCTAGTTCCAGCTTCTTTCAAACTTAACTCAAATGCAGTAGGGAAATATGAACTTGCATTCTCTGGAATAATTTAAAACTGAATTATCAATGCAATAACTAAATCACTGCACCACCCCAGAACCACTGGGTTTCCATTGTAGTGATAAAACAGAACAACCAAAAAGTAATTACTTGATAAATTTATGGACAACAGTAACATAACCCTCCTCCTAAATAAACAAATAAATACAGATGATCTCAGACTTACAAATACAAGTGGGTGAAGCAGCCAAATAAGATGTATACAGAAGTGTCAAATTCCTGTTGTTGCTTGGTAAATGTATTGCCCACCCCAGAGATTGCTGGCCCTTCCTAGTGTCCAACAGGTCATAGAACTGCAGCTTTAAGGCACCTCAGATGAAAATTAAGTATTGAATCTTATTCATATACTTAGAAAGAGCCCTTTTTTGTGAAGCTGCAGTTTATGTAATGCGTTTGCAGAAATATTTACATTGAACTTTTATGCCTCTATCGGTCATGATACAATATACCATTCATAAAATCCAAGTTTTATTTGTAAAAATTGGTTTTACATAGCGTACATTTTCTCAAAGATTACAACTATGAATATAACTTGAAGTGACACTGGTCATCTCTGTAACATTGCTGTGTCCAGTATGCAAGTGTTCAGTCACTTATACATTCAGCACAATTTTTCATTTGATTTCAGTGTAGTTGGCACTGTTTCCTTAGTTTAGATAAAGAAAAGTTAGTCCTTACCCATCCTCCATCTCCAAAAATAAAATAAACTCAAATCATATGGAGTAGACAATCACATTACAGAAAATAAACAGAAGAGAACCAAATTTGATTTGTGAAGCAAGGGTAATTAACACTTTTTCTTTGTAACATATTACTGTCTTTGCACAGTTCTCAAATTAAAAACAACCATCCACCCATATATCCAAAACATTTCAGGACTGGTCTTTCAACTGCAAGCAGCTAATATTTCAGTACAAGCAATACTGCTTGACCATTGCAGATTATGATAAAACCGTACATATCCAAAACAAGCTACTACCAAGTAGTAGAAATTACATTTGCCATTTTACTGATATCCATATGACATTGGTGGGCCTTTGTCTTCATGTGATTTGCCAATGCTATTCATTTAAGTATGACAAATTGCTTTAATTATTTTAATTAGAGAAGCCAAGCCAAAAAATGTCATACACCTATCATAGACAACAAGGTGCAGGGCTGGATGAACACAGCAGGCCAAGCAGCATCTCAGGA